AAAAAAAAAGCCTTGGTCCCACACATTTTGGAGCTCTATATTTTCCTGGCATTCCATCTGTTTTTACAACTATTACTTTCCAGCATGAGGGATCCACTTTTTGAGATCTTCCTGATTATTAAAAGCGGCCAGAATTCTTATTTTACAGAGATCTTCACATTGGTTATATACTCAGATAACTATACACACATATCCTGTTCTTCTGTTTCCATAAGCAAACAATCTGCTTAAAAACTCAAGCATAAAACATGAACATCCAAAATAAGCAAGCAAACAAACCTCCAATAAAATCTAACAATTAAGTTTATGGTGCATGACTGCAATCCTATACTTCATATACTTAAGAGTAAGCTCCATTGAACTCAGTGATGTTACTTCTGATTACACAGGTTCAATTTGTGAAACACACTCACTATCAATAAAAACAAGCTGAAATGCATCCCGTAGTTTTTAATTAAAGATACAAAAAACAAACAAACCTTCCTCCCCAAACACTAGAAACAATTTGGCAGATAAGGGTTATCTTTTAAACTGTTGACGTCAAGTAGGAACTCCATGAAAGAGATCAAGGAAAGTATTCAGGTTTTGCCTGATTATTTTCCACCTTCTCCTACTTTCTCTATGCAAATCTGACATTAACAATAGAAAATTCAAAAGCCTCATTATTGCCCCATTCATACATCAGAGCAAGAAGGCAATTGCTTTGACATTCTGGGATATGATGTTCATCATCAGTCCTATTCTGAAAAATGTCCAGGAGGTGTTGAAGGAGTGCAGGAGGGAAAAAAAGAAAGAATGAAGCCTATCATAACTATAAAAATGTATATATTTTCCATGGAGTCATATGATCATGAGAGAATCATCTCTCTCTCTTAGCCTAACCTACCCTCATAAAATTATTGTGATGATAAAAAAATAAATAGCCATCAATAACCTAAACCATTTACAGAAAGACCTGTGAGGAAATAATAAAGCAGAACATCTAAGAAAACTATTCTGTTATAATGCTGAACATAAATAAATAAATAAATAAATAAACACTTTGAATTAGGCACAGAAATGGACTGGTAGTCAGGGCAGTTGCAGCAAGGACATTATATCTACCTATAACCAGCCCCAACAGCAATCTACCAGCCGCCTTTTGACACAGCTGAAGTTTCTAAACTGTCTTCAAAAACAGACCCACACAGAATGTGTTACAGTAATCCACCTGAGCAGCAACTATGGCATGTGTGACTGTAACCAAATCGGACATCTCAAAAAACAGGCACCACTGGTGCACCAGCTTTAATTGTCCAAAAGCACTCCCTGCCACTGCTGAAGCCTGGGCATACAGGCTCAGGGCTGAATCCGGGAGTACATCTAAGCTGCAGATTTGTGTTTTCAGGGGGAGTGTAACCTCATCGAGCATAGGTTGCAGCCTTATTCTCTCATCTGCCTTCCTATTGACCAGGACCCCCTCTATCTTGTCTGGATTAAGTTTCAATATGTTTGCCCTCATCCAGATCATTACTGACACCAAGCACTGGTTTATAACTGAAACAGCTTCATTGGAATTCAGTGGAAAGCAGAGATAAGAGTTGGGTGTCATCAGTATACTGGTGACACTGAATCTCAAAACTACAAACAATTTCTCCTTGTAGTTTCATGTAGATGTTGAATAGCGTGGGAAACAAAATAGAACCCTGAGGAATAGCAAAGGCCAATGGCTACGGCATGAACGGGTGTCGCCCAGCACCATTTTCTGAGTTCTCCCTTCTAGAACAGACCAGAGTCACTGTAAAACGGTGCCTTCAAATCCTATCCCTGAGTGACAGCCAAGAAGGTTACCATGATTGATGGTACTGAAAGCTGCTGAGAGGTCCACCAGAACCAACAGGGATACACTCCCCCTGCCCAGTTCCCAGCATGTCATATTGGTATAGCTGCCTCTTTGCAGCTAGCTTACCTCCTTCTCATATTTCACAACACGCTCTTTAGATGCTTGTATAAAAGCAGCAGCATCTTTGGCCTGCAAGAGAACAAATTACTTAAGTTTATACAATGCGACTTTCCATGACAGTCATTCCTAAAACCAAGGTGATCCTAGACTCTCAAAAGCTATACCAGTGGAACAAAAAGTCTGGGAGATTCTAAAGCTTCAAGCACAGGTCCTACAATCTGATGATGATGCATAGCATGTCTGCCATCTGAGAATAAGGCTAGCTACGTACCTGTTTTCAAGACTGTACCTCTTGGAAATACACAACATTAAAGCAAAATATAGAGCCAAGGCACCTAATGTTTCTAAAAATCTTGCTGGGTAGATTTGCTCTTTCATGCCAAGTATAGTTAAACCTAGAAGTTATAGTTTTACATAAGATTACGTATTTTACCCACCTTATGTGCATTTCACATAGCCAAAAAGATTGCATGTAGCAAAGTATACACCCTTAAGCAGGCATGTATATAAAATATGCATAGGATATACTCAATTCCTATAATTCCTATCCTCACCTTTCTTGTGTAGAAGCTTCCCAAGCACCAGTTATAATCATGCATACATCTTACGTACACGGTGACTTCACATATGCAATAGCAAATACACGAGCCCTTTCCAAGCTTGTGAACCAACCCCAAGTTATCCCTCACAGCAGTTGCACATACAGCATAATTAGAATCTACAGTGTTTTTTAAAGGAAATTGTTATGCTTTCTCCAATTTTGCAGACACATTACAGCTTCTGGATGACTTTAATTTGAATAACAAAAATTGGATTTTTTTTTACAATTTAAATAAAAAGTATTTATTTTTTTATTTATTCAATTTGATTTTTTAAAATCATTGATTTTTATCCACTTTTACAGCTCTTTATTTTGTTCCTCAGTCTTAAACTGCAAGATTACAAATTGTTGGGACTGGGCAGGAGAAAGGAAAAAGCTTTCATCTTCATCAAAAACAGCTTTGCAACCCTTCAAATTATAACTGATTTCAGCCAGATGGAGAAAGAGATGAAACAGAAAATGATGCCCAGCCCCATCTGCCATACTGATACTTATGGAAATCTGTTATCAGCTACTATGTTTCAATAAACTCTACCAAGATCCACCCCCACCCCTGTAGACTCTTTTTTGCACACACCACCTATATTCTTTCCTGTAATTCCATATAACTGGGGGGGGAGAGAAACAGATTACTTACCGCCTCTCGTTCTTGCACATCTATTTTAGCTGTTTGGGTATCCACAGGCTCAGGAACCTTGAGTGCCTTAAACTGCAAAATGTGAACAGGGAAAATGTAACTATGCTGCCTTCTACACTGTATCCCCTAAAATAAGACCTAACCTGAAAATAAACCCTAGAATGATTTTTCAGGGTACTCATAATATAACCCCTACCTCACAAATAAGGCCCAGTTAAGTGAAACCCTGCCCTCCACCATTGTGCAGCAACCCGCTATGCAGGGCACCACTGTATTTGAATAGGTGTAGATTGTTATACATGAAAAAAATCCCCTGAAAATAAGCCCTAACGCATTTTAGAGCAAAAATTAATATAAGACCCTGTCTTATTTTGGAGGAAGCATGACATTTTGTTAACACTCCATTTGAAACCAGTTTACCTCTCTTATGAAGCCCTGCCTGGATCCTCTTTCCTCAGAGCGTGTCTGAAGCTCAGTGGCACAGCACATTACATGCAGTTTACTGAAATAGGACCTAACAGTGATCCAAACAGATTCAAGTCTAAAGTAGTGAGCTACCTAGACTGACACAAGGCATATGAATTACCAAGTTAGCTTGGTCACTTCCAAGGACAGACATTTGTAAGTAGCTGTTAAGAACATACAATATCTGTAGATTCAAAGAGTTAGACAACCCTATTGCACTCAGTGCAATGCTTGCATTTAATGGACCTGATGTCATCTGGATTGCACTCTCACATATTTATTTCTCTGCCCTTTAGGCAGAAATCCAACCATGAGACCTGGATCCAGAATTTCTGAGTGCCCATTCCTACCCTGTTACAATTCAAGTCTAATGTTCTTCAATCTCACCCAAATTATATAGACTTACTTACAAATAATGGAGAGAAAAGGATCAGCAAATTTATTTCCAGCGATTCTTTTTAAAATAAAACTTTGCATCATTTCTATCTGATGCTAGGATTATATTATTTTATGTAGTTCAACAGAAAAAGCCAGAAATATCTTAACATGTCAGGCCCACAAAAACCTTATTTCCTTGCTGCCTTTTTCTCCCCAACTTCAAAACATATTTCAAATTATTTCAACAGACCTCCAAAACAAAATTTGCCAAATAGTCTGAATATATGACTTGGACCCCAGAATTTAGACTGTTATCTGAAGCAGTGGTTCTTAACCTTTGTTACTCGGATGCTTTTGAACTGCAACTCCCAGAAACCCCAGTCAGGACAGCTTCTGGGAAGGCTTCTGGGAGTTGCAGTCCAAAACTCCTGAGTAACCCAAGGTTAAGAACCAGTGACCTGAAGTACAGACTTTATTTTAGTATTGGTTCAACATAAGAAAACATTCTAGCACAGAACAGGAGCACAGAAAGCCACAAAGGTTCAAGTTTCAAAATCCACTAGGATTCTACAGAACAAGGCAACAATTTTAAAAAACCCACCCCCAAATAAGTACCAGTCAGGAAACCAGAAATCTGGAATATGACTGCAAAGCACAAAGATGAGCAAGGGTTACAATGAGAGTATACATGAAAAAAATTCTCTTTATATTGAGACGCATATGTGTTAAATTTATAACCAACAAATAAAAAAAATAGATTAAGTATTATTTCACATTTAAATTTTATAGGGTAAAAAAAGCAGTAAAAGATTATTACTAATGACTGGTGGCACATCATCATCATAGGTATCCTTCAGTCTCGAGAGACTATGGTGTTGTGTTCTGCATGGAGGACTTGGAACAGCGTCTAGTGTGGCTGAGAA